ACAGGACACATAAGGAGAGGCTCAGACAGTTGCTTTGGAGAGACCATGCTGTTTGGGTCTTGACTTCACTGCTGGGTTCTGCAGCTTCTTCCCCCACTCTCCAAGGATCTGGCTGCCTGCACTGAAGGTCAGCTCTTCATATCGCACTATGATGAGACTCTTCTGTTGTCTCCTCACATGCACCTTCTGCCTGCTGGCTCAGGAGCTGCATTTAAGCTCTCACAACCTTGCCCTGGGTCCTCACCCGAGCTGCACTGGAAGTCAGGCTGCACCTGGCTTTGTAACCTAGTGATACTGCTTTTGCCTCGCTGACTTTCCTTCCTGGCTTGCTCTTGAACCTGTCTTGTAACTACAGACTTGTCCTAGCATGTGACCTTGACTTGGAAAGACCTTGCTTGCCATCACCACAACCCACATGGTGCTGTGAGCAGTGTGCACGGGAAGGTAAGCTGGGAGGTGTCTGCCTCGCTCCCACCCTGGAGAAGTGGCTATCTGGCAGCATATGCTTAGAAAGCCAGGTGATTCATTTAATTTTTTGAAATGCTGGCTACACAAATCACCCAGAGGTGATCACTATTCAACCCATTAGTCCTGCAGATTGACTGATCAATTGCTTCTGCAGATGCCTCATGCCACTAGTTTCCGGGACCAGCACGGAGGGATGTCCCTGTCCCAGGGCTCACCAACCCACCAGATCCATTAGCTGGAAGGCACCTTACCGACACTTCAGCTAGAGCTGCTGTGAAATTACTTTCACTAGCTACTTTCTCTTGTCTTACCTTGTACCAAAATTGCTCAGTAGTACATCTAAAGGCAAGGTCTTAGCACTGACAGTCTCCGTACTCACTCCCACTGAGCCCATACAGCCAGTGTTAGGTGAGGTAAGGGCTGTTGTGCATTTAAATACAGTTAAACAGGAGCACCTTGGTATTCCCTACCTCCTGGCAGTTGATGTAGCAGAGTTTTCCAGTAGTCATATAATAAATACGTGTCAAAAACATCCTGTTTTCTTTTTTCTTATTCAGAAGAAAAGCTCCAAAGCTTTGTAATTTGTGTTAGCAAAGATATAATTGGCTTAATATATATCTTCACAAGGTCCTCTTTATGTACACCCGGGAATGGCTGCAAACCTCACAGCAGACGTTCACTGCACACATCCCTCCATGTGGACAGGTGGCAACTTCACCTTCACACCACACCAGTGAGGTGGCCTGTGCTCTGCACAGCAGCATTTGCCTCCCACAGCTACAGAGGGGATTTAGTCTTCAACATCCACCATCTCCTGCCCTCCAGCCCAGGGACCAACATTGCCAGCATCCCCAGTCCAGGGCCAGTGTGGTGAAAGACAGGAGTGGAGACAGCAGAAGTGTCCCTCTGTGGTGCAGAGGCAATCACCACACTAAGATGCACAACACAGTATACCCTTTGCAAGACACATGAAGGCTTCATACTAATCAGCACCAGAAAAGCCTCAGCTAAGGACTGTGTTTGATTCAGGTAGCCTTAGCTCAGCAAAGATGGAGACCAACTGAAGAACCTCAAAATTGCAGCAAAAACCATGATCAGAAGTGAAGAAAATGTGACCCAACAAGACTTCAGAACTGGGATGGCTGAGAGAAGAAAAAGCATGCTACGAACAGGTATATGTGTCTACAACTATACAATACACAGCCAGGAAAGGGAAAGAAGTAAACAAGTTTGCCACATCCATATGAACAGAGTAGAGCAGGTACATATACATAAATGCAAAAATACATGTAGTTTTGCATTTTTGGCTTTCATTTTTAATCAGCAATGAATACAAAGCATTTAAGTATTGCTCTTTAGTATTTATCTTATAACAAGAACAGCCTTTATTGTACTTAGGTAGGGTCATGAATCAGACTTCCAAAATACTTAAGAATTCATCTAAAGTCTCAGCTCGGCTTTGCAAGACCCAAGGCTTGCAAAAATGAACTTATTACAAAAGAAACTGAAATTTGTGCAATTTCTGTAAGTTTCATGTCTCGGTCCTGTTCGCACCCTCCAGCATGGGGATTTACATCTGCTGATGGGACAAAGAGAACTTCTGCAAAAACTATTGGGGACTTTTGAAACTAAACCAATAAATTAAACTAGCAGAGTTTTGAAACTTATGGTGCAACTTTTTCCCTGTAACAGGCACTGCCACTGCTTTCCTTCTTTCAGTACTTGTTGGATCTGCGCTATCGGGCTTAACGTCTTTTTGATTGCTTAAATGCTAAACTAGAAACCTGAGCTTTGCTACACTGGTGTACTAAGTTAATTTGTTAAATATGAACCGTTATTACAGAAAAGAAAAATAATTTACCAAAGTAGCAGCTGAGAATCATATCACAAATTATTTAGTTTACTGATGGTACTACACTACCTAAAAATTACAATGGGAGGAAAAAAAAAAAGTGGCACTTGATCCAAGCCAATTTAATTCCACATGCAACACCGACAATCCATGGGTGCTTCTAAAACAAGTCTACAGCAGCAAAACACATGAAGAATAATCCATTCAAAATTCTTATTAAAATTGGGCTTGTGTGATTATGAAATGAAGGAAGGGCCTAAGAGCATATTCTTAATTTGCTTCATGCTGCCTTAAGCATTGTTTTGTATCAGAGGGTCCTGTTTGACTTCCTTGGCACTGTCCCTTACAGAGACAACTTCTATTAAACATATGCCAAAACTCTCAACTATCAGCTTACCAGAATGAAAGAGAGACTTGTTTTATCTAACGAGAAGTTCTTACTACTTGTACTCAAGATAAACAAGGGCTGAAGTACTATCAATCACAACTGCCTTCATGCATTGCTTAAACATTTCCCAGCAGGGTTACCCAACTTGCACCTTCTGACTCGAGAAGAGTCACTATTTCACTGTTTCTCTGGCCATCAAAAATGCCGCAAAACTGGACAGGACACACCTAAGGTCAACACAAGTGAAAGTAAATCCAGTAGAAACAAGTCAAGTCACACTTGTACAGTTAAAAAACATCTAAATACAGTTAAAAAGCAGTTAAATGTAAAATAAACACTAATAAATCATCTCTGTAGCATGATGTTTAAAAAAAAAAAAAAAAAAGCAGCACACTAGTCATTGCTTTGCTTTTAATTGAAAACATTTCTAAGCCACCCTGCCCCAGATTGTGTGATATCACTTGCCCTCTCAGGAGCTTAACACGGGTATTCTTCAGATGAAGCTTTTGTGGATGAGCCAGCATTCACTCCCACACAGAGAAACAGCTCTCTGAATCCCTTTCAATTAGTGCATAATCTGCTTCTGAAGAATGTGACAGCCTGCCTACACAGCTATTATCTCAGTTCTTACACCAAACATTTTCAGTTTATAAGTAAGTTTCTGTCTTGATAAATCTCTCATTCATGGAAACCAGATTTAACTGACTTGGTCTCTTCCCCTTCTTCCTACCCTTTCTTTCAGGATTTTCCCCTCCTGACAGATGATCAACAAGTTAAATTATTCCTTTGGACATGTTTATATTCCCATTACTTTCAGATGATACCCCTGCCTTCAGTGCAGTTGTACAGACAAAAGGGACTGAATTCAGCAGCCTGTGGCACTGGCTCATAGCACTCCATGGTGGGATCAACGCAAGAGACCAAGTTTCACGGCAGAACTGCACTCTTGACAGGTCCTTTGTAGCATTTCTGAAAGATGAAGAAAAACTAGGATGAGCTGGATCTGAATTGGAGATTGCTGAATGCCTAACTAACAGCGAGTACAAGGGGAACCTAGGACACAACCCACAATTTGGGGCACTTCTGAGGCTGCCCCAAGCCACCACCTGTACCCCTGACATAGCAGGGGAGATTGCAATGCAGTGTGGCTTACGTACTGCCTCCTCTGTGACAAGCAAGCGATGGGACAAGTGAGAGATGCTGCAAAGAGCACCGACAAAAGCTGTAACCAGTTCTCTGTCCCTGGAGAACCAAGTCTGCAGAAGCTTCCAAGCTCCCAGTGGAGCCTGCAAGCTGCAGCCTGCTCGACATCACACAGGTGACAGGGCTGTTGTTACAAGCCACTGTGTGGACATGCCATTCTTCCTCAGTAGTCTGAATACAGGTTTGCTGAGGAAAACACTTCCCAGGACATGTGAGACTCCATGCACGCATATATGATTAAACAGTGATTTCTGTATAGGGCTCCAGAAAACACAAAAGCTCTACCTGTGTGCGTCAGTCACTGTGATGTAGAAGCAAACTAGTACATTCTTTACAATTCTCCCCCAGCAACATGGGAATGGTAGCACAGGCCATTTGAAAATTACTAGTTTGTGAATCATCTTCAGTGATATTCCGAATTTTCAGGGCTTTTTAATGTCGCTTCTGTATGAGCCATATCTGTTCTATTTTCCCTCCTGCCAGATGTACTTCCCTCTGAACCTTCTTTAAACTCACTTGTAATGGTGAACATGAAGCGCTCCAGGCCAGGTTTGCAGCTTTCTGCATTTTTAGCACTTTTAGCAGCTGGTTGTCTATGGGAGGTATCAACAGTACAGGAAAAACTTACAGAATTTAGTCTTCCAATACAATGACATGGGATAAATTCCCTAGCTTAAAATGTGAAAAAGCTGATGAAACAGCATTTCACCCTCACAAAATTTACCGTGGGGGAGAAGCATGTCTGGATGGATTAGCAGTGACGGGGAGGTCTGCCATCCAGTGGCTTTTTTCCTTACTGCTGAACAGCTACAGTGGCTTTGATCCTCGCTGCCTGCTAATTTGGGTTTGTGCCTTCACCTTTGTTGTCGCTGTGCAAGAGGGGATAACAGGGACCTGGCATAGTCTCTGCATATCCACATTCTCAGCGGTTGCAGCTCTGGGTCATGTTATTGTTGCTGGGTCTTTGCCTGCAAAAACTTTATTACGTCCAAAAGCGCAGGTTCCCGATTCCCCATTGTCAGCATGATACTGCTCCCAATAACTGAAGGGGGTGGGGGGGAAAGTTGTTTTCAGACGAAGCTCCTCCTAGTTGCAGACTGTTAGCAACGGGGTTTGAAATGAAATTAAAAGCTATTTAATTTTTAAAACAGTAATTGTGTTTGTGCTGTAGAAAAGAAACCCTGTTGTGTTTGGGTGGATGCATAAGAAGTTGTTAGGCGTTCCTCTTTCCCGTAATACCAGCGGCGTGCGGGAAGTGCGGAGTCAGCTGCTTCAAAACGCCGCCAGCGGATAAAAAGCCCATTTGTCTCCAGGAAGTGCGGTGAGAAGGTGGGGAGACGTCCTGCAGCAATCATGTCAGGTCTGTGATGTTTGTCTAATATTCTCGTAAATAATTCACTGTACCTAAGTCTGTTATCCATTAAGTGCTGGGCTTGGGTTAGCATTGTTCCTCTCAGTTGCTGTTTGTATGTTTTCCCTTCTACAATGGTGTGTTTAGACAACAGATAAACGCAGATAAATTGCAAGTCAAACGAACTGCAAGTCAGATGAATTGTAATGGATGTAATTGAAGGATGTTTCTGTTCGATTTTTCTTGTTGATGATAGCTATGGAAAGGCAACCTGGAGCCAGTAAGTAGCATAGGACTTCTTTTGACTCTCATAGGCTTTTTAAAAAAACTATTTTGGAATAGAAAAACCACAGTTTGGAGGTGCCTTTCTCCACTGACTATGCGGGCAGCCCAAGTCACAAGCTTAGGGAAGCTAAAATTAGGGGAGATGAATTGTGCACAAGACACCTGTTCACCTCACAAGCTACACTGTGGCTTTATGCTAGCATGGTTGAGAGGTAATCTCCAGAGCATATGATACCACGACTGCATCTGATAGCACAAATACCTGCACTAGTATTGAAATGATGCCGTGGGTTTCAGTCATGGATCCCAAACCATTTTAAAGGCATGCACTGGTCTGACATCTGATTGTAAATACTGCTCTTAGGCTGTCTGGAGCGTTATGGGAATATACTGAATGTTGACACAACTGGAGCTTCAGAGGCAACTGCGAAACCAGAAGGTCTGAGCTATGCAGGTAGGTAGGCACTAATTCAGTTGTTCCTCTTACCTCACATACATATACAAGCTCATCCCTATTACAGATCCTGGTCTCTGGCTGTCAGTCATTGCCACGCGAGCAGATTTTTCCACAACCAGCAAAGATACTACTTGGGCACATAAATTTATGTTGGGAATAGAATTGCCTTTGAGATTATATTCAAGACCATTGCAGAGAAAATGTAAGGTCTTCTGGGTGCATCCAACCCCTGCTATCAAGCCTGCTTTTCTCTCTCCCTTAAGAAGATTTTCCTCATGACCTAAGTTTCCAAACATTTCCCCATTATAGACTTAAATCAAAAGGAACTAAATCTGGGACTAATCCACTTTGAAGTCTTAGGTTTAAAACAAGAAGACCCACCTTTTAGCCTGCACACTAGAGGACTGCCCTCTGTATTTGAAAAAGCTTCTTTTATATTGTCTGAGTATTGATTTCTAGGGCACTTATCTTTCAGCAAAATCAGTCAATTCTATCACTACTTCCCTCTAAATAGATTCAGGAGGATTCAAAACATCAGCTCAGTCATAATGACTGTTAGAACAACTTGTTTCGGATTTGTAAAATGAAAGGAAAAGTCATACATGTTGTGTTATAGGAGTTCCTGCCTCAGAGAAGATTGCAGAAAAAGATTTGAAGAACATGCAGAAATACCAAGCCAAGATTACAAAAATTGGCAACAGCAAGTGTGTTGATCCAGCTGTGATTGCTGGTATTATCTCTCGAGAGTCACATGCTGGTACAGTGCTGAATGACGGATGGGGTGACCATGGAAATGCATTCGGTTTAATGCAGGTATGGTCAACCTTCTCAAAACCACAAACCTCATCCTCCTTTTGAAGCAGAAAGTCAGAAGAGCAGCAGGGGACCCATTGAAAGGCAGCCCCCTAAACCTTTTCAGACAACTCTTTGGCCAGAATAAAGCTGACACTGACCCAGCTGTCAGCTCCCAGCACCAGAGAAGGACCCCAGGGAGTGTCAGGGCATGAGCAAACTGCTTTTGCACTGCTGCTTGCTTCCCAGCACTCTCTTGGGAATGGAGAGGTTAATTGTTCCTATTTCATACTTTAGAAAACAAATCTTGTTTCAGAAAGCATTTTTTTTAACTAAGCACAGAGGCCTGCAGGCTGCAGCTACATACAGTTAAGTTAATTACCCTTTATGCACCAGAGGGGCCTGGCTAGTGGGGGATCTTGCTTCATTATTCATGCCTACATTCACGCCTCACTTGTTTGCCAAGTTGTATGTTTATCCGTGCAATCCCTGGGTGCTTGTTGCATGCCTTGGGATCTGCTTTTGTAATTGCTCCAGCACTCTCAGACTTGCACTTTACTACCCTCTGGATAAAAGGTGGAGAAGAAGAAGGTTGACCCGCTTACTGGATGAGGGGAAAGGCTGTGGATGTTGTCTACCTTGATTTTAGAGAGGCTTTTGACACTCTTTCCCACAGCATTCTCCTGGCAAAACTGCTTGGATGGGCACACGCTTTGCTGGGTAAAAAACTGTCTGGATGGCCGGGCCCAAAGAGTTGTGGTGAACGGAGTTAAATCCAATTGGTGGCTGGTCACGAGTGGTGTCCCCCAGGGCTCGGTTTTGGGGCCACTCCTGTTTAACATCTTTATTGATGATCTAGACGAGGGGATCGAGTGCACCCTCAGTCAGTTTGCAGATGACACCCAGTTGGGTGGGAGTGTTGATGTGCTCGAGGGTAGGGAGGCTCTGCAGAGAGACCTGGACAGGCTGGAGCCATGGGCTGAGGCCAACTGTATGAGGTTCAACAAGGTCAAATGCCGGGGGCTGCCCTTGGGCCACAACAACCCCCAGCAGCGCTACAGGCTTGGGGAAGAGTGGCTGGAGAGCTGCCAGTCAGAGAGGGACCTGGGGGTGTTGATTGACAGCTGGCTGAACAGGAGCCAGCAGTGTGCCCAGGTGGCCAAGAAGACCAATGGCATCCTGGCTTGTGTCAGCAGTAGCGTGGCCAGCAGGGACAGGGAAGGGATCTGACCCTTGTACTCGGCACTGATGAGGCCACACCTCGATTCCTGTGTTCAGTTTTGGGCCCCTCACTACAAAAAGGACATTGAATGACTCGAGCGTGTCCAGAGAAGGGCAACGAAGCTGGTGCAGGGTCTGGAGCACAGGTCGTACGGGGAGCGGCTGAGGGAACTGGGGGTGTTCAGTCTGGAGAAGAGGAGGCTGAGGGGAGACCTCATCGCCCTCTACAGCTACCTGAAAGGAGGTTGCAGAGAGCTGGGGATGAGTCTCTTGAACCAAGTAATAAGGGATAGGACAAGAGGGAATGGCCTCAAGTTGTGACAGGGAAGGTTTAGACTGGATATTAGGAAGCATTTCTTTACACAACAGGTTGTTAGGTGTTGGAATGGGCTGCCCAGGGCAGTGGTGGAGTCCCCATCCCTGGAGGTGTTTTAAGAGTACGGTCGACTTAACGCTGAGGGATATGGTGTAGTTGGAAACAGTTAATGTTGGGTTGATGGTTGGACTGGATGATATTCAAGATCTTTTCCAACCTAGACAATTCTGTGATTCTGTGGAGAAGGAGAACTGGGGCAGAGATCGAGGGGAGATCCCTAGAGAAAAGAGGGGTTTTCCCACCCTTGGTGCAGCTCAGGAGAGGGGCATTCACCTTGCAACTGGAAAAGCTTAAGCAGCAGTAAACCCGCTTTCTGCAGCATAACCTTTACAGCAGTAGCTGTGTCAGATTTTTAAAGCTCTGACAGACAAGGAGGTAGAGCAGGCATTCCTCTTCAGTGCCCTGATAGTCTGCTATTCACACACCTAATGGCTTTGCCGCACCTTAAGCTGAGCTTGCTTCCTCTCTATACAATTACAAAAGAGGTAAATCATGAGCTTAAAGATAAAAATGAATACAAGCAGCCTGTAAGCAATGAAGAGCTGTGGATAAGTAGTGGGGTTTCTGATGTGCTGTTATTGCTTTCTCACTTTCAGGTTGACAAACGGTACCATAAGATTGTTGGATCGTGGGACAGTGAAGAGCACTTAGCACAAGGCACAGAGATTTTATGCGGGATGATAAATGAAATCCAGAGGAAATTCCCAACTTGGACAAAGGAACAGCAGCTCAAAGGTAGAATTAACACTTCACACATATAAAAGTCAAGCACGGTAACACTGTAAAACTGAACACTTCAGAAAACTAAACACATCCCAGGCCCTCTGTTCATTTTATCGAGATGTGGAATAATATTCCTTAATATTCACTAAAAGGAATAGGGGAGTAAGATTTGGTTAGCTTTCAAGCAGACTTATGGAAAACTTGGCAAGTATCATGGCATTTTTCAGTTCCAAGGAGTAAGGGTGGGTTTTTGCACTTCTCTCTGTTTCATTTGGTTTGTGTTTCTATACCCACCTATAGAAAGCTGCTATTCAGGCAACTCTGAAGAAGGAACACATTAATTCTGAAAATGTATGGTCCTCTCTGGAGGAAACATGGTTATATTCATGAACACTGATTACACCTGAAGCAGCTGTTACGGTTGGGTCCCTTTATTCCAGCTACAAGTTTGTCTGAGATTATTAATGCAGGTAGGCGTGAAGGAACATGCGCAAAAGGAAACAGTCATACAGCTGTTAACATTAGCAAAATATTGCATGGGGACAATGATCACGAAGTCTGGATGTAAAGGAGGAAATTACAATTCCTTCACAAAGTTAAAACACAAAAGGAACACCTCAGTGACAAAGCCAGCTGGAAATGGTAATACGATGGCCAACAATACTGGTGGAAAGAGAACTACAAACTAAATCATTACATTTAAGTTGTGATTTTGGTTTGTTTGCTTACTTACTAATGAAGTATTACCTCTGTTTCTGTGTTTCTGTCACTCTCATTTCAGGTGGGATCTCAGCCTATAATGCGGGAGCTAACAACATCCGGAGCTATGACAGAATGGACATTGGCACAACACACAACGACTACGCCAATGATGTGGTTGCAAGAGCCAAGTTTTATAAGAGAAATGGATACTGAGATATCTGAGTGATAAGATTTGAGTCACTGATTTCATACTTTGCTTTTAACTAAAAATATCCTATACTTTTCCCCCAGAAACAGTAAGAATGGGGGAGGATAATGAAGCCAGAAACAAGTGCAAGCTCTCTCTTTTTTTTTTTTTTTTTTGGCTAAGGCTAAAAAAATAACTCTAAAAGATAACACTGCTAATAATCCAAACTATAACCAATCTTTTGCCATTTATTTTTTATCTCACTTCACAAGAATATTCAAGAAGAGTTTTAATCTGTGCTTGCAGTTTCTCAAGCAGCAGATTAATGCTGCAAGAAAATTATAACACTACTTAACAAGATTTTATCTGCCTTAGATTTCATCTGTCAATACATGTGTTTAACAGCAGTACAACATTGGTTGTTAACAATTTGCAGTTTTGGAACTAAATATTTGCAATAAATATCGTCTATGTTTAATCTACCAGAAGAGTATATCCCAGTGTATCATATACTTTCAGTATAATCACTCTTAGCTTTGGTGATGTGAGCCCATGAGGTCAGCCAGGCAGGCTGCCTAGAGAGGCTGAGCTGTACCTGTCCTCAGAGGTTCTCAAGACCCGGCTGGACAAATCCCTGAGCAACCTGGTCTGGCCTCAGCGCTGGCCCTGTGTTGAGCAGGAGGCTGGACTAGAGACCAGTGAGGTACCTTCCAACCTGAATTTTTCCATCATCTTCAGTCAGTCTGTTTCCTGCATAAAAGGGCCGCATCTCTTACCTGTGCTTCATGAAGAGTTACATGAAGCATTTACAATGTTCCATTAATGAAAGGATGTGGACACACTCTATATTTATGTACCCTGTTGGTTCAGGTTTAGACCCAAGAGCAAATCTTTAGAGAACATATGCTTATACAGAGAAGGTTTGGGATAGCAGATAGACTGTATGACAGTTGTGACCTTGGAGGAAACACCATTTCAGAAACACCCACACTTAAACATGTATTACAAATTTTAAGAAAATGCAATTTCCTTTTTCATTAAAACTGCTAGCTTATCAGTGAAAGACAGCTGTAAACATCTCTTGTAGCTAAATCTTACCCACAAGTAAGAGGTACTATCTAAATTATCCTTTCTTTGTACTTGGGAAGCAATTATTAGCTCTGGTCTAACTTAGGTAGTTTATCACACACTTTTTAAGTTGTGCACAGTACCAAACAAGCTTTTTCATTAACACATTCTTTCCAATTTACATTGCAGTACTTTTGAAGGCTGCAGTATCTGTATAGTGTAACAAAAAGAAGATCCACATTCATACCCATACTGTGTATGACAGAACTGGCTGCGCTCCCTCTGTTGGAGATTGAGCAGGCTGCAGCGCTGTGCTCACAAATCCTGAATGTGCTCGGAAAGGTTGAGCAATCGTGGCTTTGGTGCTCTGGGTCACCAAGCCTGGTACAAGTCTTTTATTTGCTATCTCTCAGCAACAAGACCCATTTCCCTAACTTTCTGGGCTCCGGTACTTGTGCCATCTCTTTTAAGCATGCCCTGTACCTTGGATGCACTACACACGTCCTTCAAAAGGGCTGAAATTTCAGCTTGTACTAAGTACCTCCCTGTGGGAACATGGTCAACGCCACACAGAGCCTGCTGCTACAACACACTGCAGGGCACGACGCTATGTATATGCTGGAAGGAAGGAGGGAGGGAAGAAAAACATTCACTTATCTGCTTCACTTTTTCCTTGCTATTCTATACACTTCAGACTGACACCAGTATTTTGTGTGTCCTTCAAACCACAGCCTGTTCTCTCTTGAGAAATGGAGGTTTTCCAGCTCAGTTTCACATTTCTGCCTTCAACCTGCCTGTAGGAGCCACTCTTCAATGCCACTACCACAGCCTATCCTTTTTTCTCCTGCTCACAGTATCTGCAGCTTCTATGCCCCTCTACTGATATGTCTATTCACTTGGACTCCTACTGCTGTTTACTCTTCTTTGCAAGCATGCAGAAAGGATAAACGTTGATTTTTAGCGACTGTATCCCCCTTATCTTTTCACAACATACAATCATTAAGATTAACTCCTCTACCGTGTGTCTAGTGTGAGAGTGGCTTACAGTATGTTAAACTATGGAATTTATGCTCAATTGAATGCAAACTACTGTATCATTTGATACAGCAGCAGCTAATTCACATTCTTAAAATTGTAAATAAAAATACGCACACAGAAGGGTCATATTCAAGACCCTTTAGTAAAAAGTGTTACTTTATAAGCTTCCAGCTCATAAATACTAAATTGCATCAAAGAGGTATGCTTCAGGGTCTCCAGATTTCTAAAGTCTGCAATTTTAGAACAGGAAAAGCATCAACTTTCACACAGACTGCAGCTCTTAAGTGATTATTATTAAACATTTAGGATCAAGAAATATGTATCAAGTGAGATAGCATGTTTCCTGAAAGGCAAATTGTACAACCTGCCAAGATGTGAATCACTCCTTCTGTTACTCCCAAATGGGAATTCAGGTACTTTTTAAGTTACAGAGCAGGCCAGATGACAGACTATTTGCTAAGGAACAAGTGTGACCAAGGTAAGTCACCCAAATGCCTCTCTCAATCAAACTACACTCTTGGTGGACAGTGAGTCAATTCTCACGTAACTGCTACATAGAGGGCTTTTCAATTCCAGTTCCTTCCTTTGTGCAGCAAAGGAGAAGTCATGCACCATCACTGTAAACCTTTACTGTTAGCTGGGAAATACCCTCCTCACCATCATTAGTTAGATTTATTCTACTTGCTTCTCTGCTTATCTGACTTTATAAAGTTCACTAACAGTTAGCCATAAACAGCAGTAATCTAGCCACAAAATTAAAACACAAGGACAGAAATCCTATCATGCCTTTAATATTTCAGGCAAATATTAACAACGTTGAATTTTATATTTGTACATTCAATCATTCTCTAAGCGTCAGTGTCCCCTGAGCCATTCGTATCAGACAGGGTAAGAATTAAGCTTACATTTCATACATAAACTCTTAAATCAGGATTGAAATTATTTATTTTATAAAGTATAAATCCAACCAGCACACCTTATGACTTTATTTCTTTCTGCTCTGCAGGTTTCAGACGACGTTTAATGATAAGCTCTCCCTTGCTTGTAAGAAAGGTGTCTGACATTTCCTCTTCTGTTGGCAACCCATAAGGTAGTTTCAGTGGCTGTATTCTATAGGCAGAAGAGTTTGTTTAGTGAAGTCCTGTGACTAGAAGACAGTTACATTAAGTGTTCCAAATTAAACAAATAGTTAACAAACCTTATCAGATGTTTAACAACTTTCAGTTTGGAATTCACAGAAGGGATATTTTTGTGCAGTACTGGCTGATGCGCCTATATAAAGGATAGAAAAGGTTTTACAAATGCATTGCCAAACCCCAAATCTCCATCCACTGAACTTTTCAGACTATTAGTAAAAATATAAACCATATTTGCAAATTTCTTTAAGTGTCATGCATCAAGAACATACATAAAAGTACAAAAATCAAAACTTGATCAAACTCTTGATTCCAGTAAAATTACAAATTCAACTTTACTCCTATTATCAATATATTCAAATTTTTTCCAACTGTTAAAAATACTACAAATGTAAATACAGTAGTTTAGGGGTAAGACTGCTTGCTTCAGTTAGATCTTAAATTGATCAAGTAAACTTTGTTTCTCTGTAATATAACACTGACTAGACAAATTTTTGCATAACGTGCAGTTGACCTAAAAAATTTGGATACACTCATCTTTGACACAAACCCTTAAAAGTCTGTCTGAAAATTTATCATCCCTCTTGGATCTGGAAGCCTACTTACAATATTGACTAATATTACCCACAGAGAAAACTGAATTCAATGCATTTACAAATCTATTTAGCTAAATTCTCAAGGTAAGGTTCTCCTCAGGCATGCATAGCAATACGATACAGTGATATTCTGAATTCCCACTAAAAGGACATTTACCATTAATGTTCCTCTCATTGGATTTCTTAACTGAATTTATCACTGATTTCTTAACTACATTTATAGCAGCTATAAAGCAATCTGAGTTTTGTAACTGCAAAATTGAAGTCCTTAAAAACCCCACCAACTTAATTTTACCCTATGTTTCTACACTTCTATGTACACAATAAATATAAAGAACAACAACCATACTTTATCCAGTCCGAGATTATGTATTATCTTCTTTTCCCAATATGGGCGACGAATCACACTTTTTATTCTAGTAATAACATGGATTTTATGGGGATGCTCAGGATCACCTCCATATTTTTCATGATCTCCAGGCCGTGGCTGAAATACCTAGAATAAGAAGTTCACAAAACCGGAGGGTTTTTTTCCTAAATATCTGAATTATTATCATAGTTAACAAAATAACTCTCTAAAACATACTTCAACCTTAGTAGAAATTCTTACATTTTTAACTACCTTTCTTTTCAGAAGGTCAAACCGCTAACAAGTGACTTTGAATTTACCTTTTATAACATTAAGTCAAACATTTTTATAAGAGTTTGCACTCTTGAGTTTGGCCATACAACTGCATAGAAATATATAGTCAACACCAAACCAGCACAGTACTTCGTTCACATGCATCTCACAGAAGAACCTCTGCTTGGCCTCTGAATGGTAAGCTTTTCCTCAGGATTTAAGAATGTTTGTAAGGAAAAGAGTCATCTGACACTAGATGGTATCTTGCAAAAAGATAAGCTGAAAATGAAAGTGTAAAAAAGTATAGCGTAAGTCCAACTTCCCATCTCTTCCGTTTCAGTTATTTATTTCATGGAATATTTCAGCTAGAAGGGGCCTACAGTAATCATGTAGTCCAACTGCCTGACCAATTAAGGGCTGACCAAAAGTTAAAGCGTTATTAAGGGCATTGTCCAAATGCCTCTTAAACACTGACAGGCTTGGGGGATCCACCACTTCTCTAGGAAGCCTGTTCCAGTGTTTGACCATCCGCTCGGTAAATAAATGCTTCTTGATGTCCAGTCTGAACCTCCCCTGGTGCAGCTTTGAACCATTCTCACACGTCATCTCACTGGATCCCAGGGAAAAGAGACCAGCACTTCCCTCTCCACTTCCCCTCCTCAGAGAGCTGTAGAGAGCAATGAGGTCACCCCTCAGACTCCTTTCATCCAAACTAGACAAGCCCAAAGGCCTTAGTCACTCCTCACAGGACATTCCTTCCAGCCCTTTCACCAGCTTTGTTGCCCTGCTCTGGATGTGTTCAAGGACCTTTAACATCTTTCTGAAATCATGGGGCCCAGAACTGCACACAGAATTCAAGGTGAGGCCGCACCAATGCTGGATGCAGGGGGATAATCACCTCTTTTGCCCGGCTGGTTATGCTGTGTTTGATGCACCCCAGGGTGCGGTTTGCCCTCCTGGCTGCCAGGGCACTGCTGGCTCACACTGAGCCTGCTGCCGATCAGCACCCCCAGATCCCTTTCTGCAGGGCTGATCTCCAGTCACTCTTCTCCCAGTTCATACTTGCACAGTCCGACATTACTCTATCTGAGGTGCAGAATCCAGCATTTGTTGTTCAATTTCCTGCCGTTGATAATCACCCAGTGCTCCAACCTACCTAGATCCCTCTACAAGGCCTCTCATCCCTTGAGGGAGTTGACAGCACCTCTCAGTTTGGTATTGTCAGCAAACTTGCTAATAGTGCATTCAAAAATAAAGATATTGAACAGACCTGGCCCTAGAATTGAGCTCTGAGGAACACTGCTGGTGACCCATTCACAACCACCCTTTGGGTTCTGCCCTTCAGCCAGCTCTTCACCCATCACTGTGAACCTGCCCATCCCACAGTCTCTAGAAATCTGTCATACGATAGAAAGCACAGAATTAAGCAGGCTAATACCTATTTTTCAGTTTCTTAACTAGTGAACCACATACCGAGTCTGGAATTCTCGACCTGGTAAAGAGACAACGAACCCACGTTGCTGCCGCCATCCCCTCCATTCTCTTTCCCAGAACCTGCAAAAAGAGCAGGACTTAACTTGTCGGGACTTTCCTTACAGCTCTTCATGCTCGCAGACAGACTACGCAGCCACTCAAACTCAGCCCGGGTGAGCACATATCCCGTGTTTGTTACATCTCCCGGTGGCTGAAGGACTGACTGCGCCAACACGGGGCGCCCGCAGGCACCTCGGCCGCTCCCAGGGCCGCGCTCTCCTCTGAGGGGAGGCACCGACCGGCCCCGCAGCGGGGCGAATCTCGGTCCCTGGCGCCACCCGTGAAGCCACCCCCCTCCCTCTTCTTCCCCAGTGGGCCGTTCCCCGCCGCCCCTCGTTGCTTCCCGGGGGAGCGCGCCCTTCCCCACCCCACCGGCGGCGGGGCGCGCACAGCCAGAGCGGCGCCCGAACCAAACCCCAGTCCGGGCCATCACCTTCCAAGGGGCTACG